AGCTAGAGGCTTATGTTTTTCCTAAGGAAATGGATGGGACAGATTCTGGAGTCAGAGTTAATAAGATAGATTTTTTTGCTTTTAGTGACATCTGTGTCTAGAATAAGTGCATTAACCTCTGCAGGGTATTGTAGATTTACCTGTGGCACACATGAGAATAAGATCTGTTCCAATGCCATTTCTATGGTTAGGAAATCTACAATGCTAATATTTAAAAATGAGATCTTCATCTGAACTTGATTAATGAAGGCCAAATTTTGGTCTTTATGCCTCTTTTTGTCCTCCCCTTTAATGTAGTTTTTTAAAGTTAAATTTGAAATATATATATAGAGGGCAAAAATGACAGAGCTATTATCCAGCCATCATAGGCATGAAGAGCTCACTTTCAATTTCTTAACCAGATCCTCTTTTCAGTGGCAAGGACACTGTCCACCTTGTATTTTCCTAAGTTAAAGGATATGAAACTGATCTGGTCTGGTTGCCAGCATGAATCAGCAGAGCAGCTCTGTATTTCCATGTACAACTAAAACCTGACTTCCCATAACAAACATACTGTGGACACAAACAAATCCATTTGCAACCCTGCCCACACAAATATTTTGTTTTCTTTTATTAGAAAAAAGTTCTGGGCTGTGCTTTCCCTTAAACATATCATCATACTGTATGATTCTTAGGGATTGTTAATGTTACACAATTTTTTTCTCGGTACATTTAACAAAGCTCAACATCATGCATTAAAAAAAAAAGTTTGCAAATTTCTTCTCGTGCACTAGTGGTCTGCGTTAGAATTTAAATAACTTATTAATTGTATTTATATTTAAGGAATAAATTGACTTTACACACTGCTGAAATTTAGTTCCAACTGGCATTACTTCTTTAAACTGGAATAGCTTACTTTTGCTCTGACCCTGTCCACCAGTATGTCAGAATCACAGCTGAGTTTTTTAGAACGCAGCCTGAAGTTATTGTCCCCTTTTCTGGGTGGATTAATCTTTGCATTGGGGAAGCATGATGAGCTGGAGGAGTAGCCAAAGTATCTCACAAACTCCATGAAGTCAAGGGTATTGTCCTGATTTGTAATTAAAGTTTCCCACAGCCTGCGGATTTCACCTCGAGTTACTTCAGGTTGGATGTCAAACCTTACATCAAAACATTGAAAAAGACAAATGTAATGACACTAGCAATATCAGTAGTAATAACTACTACAGGCCCGTATGCAGGAATTTCTGTGGTGTGTGTGTGTGTGTGTGCGCTTTTTTTTGTAAATGTGGACCGCAAGAGTGTGAATACACACCCCCATAATCTCCCTAGTAAGTGGGGAAATCAGCCCCAGCCTTCTTCCGGCCAGCCAGAGCATGGTGGTGGGGGAGGCTTGGGCAGTGCGCCCTCCTGCCTTTCCTTGGCCAGCTGGAGCATGCTTACTTGGGAGATCTTGAGAGGGGTACTTTTGCACCCTTTGTACCCACCCCCCACATATGGACCTGTATTAGGAGGAAAAGCAGAAAACTATTTGGTATATGACCCAAATCTCAAAGTACTTACAAAGCAAACTTCCAGTGTGGTCACTGATACCATTAGGAGTTTTGCTGAGTAAGGATTTCAGCTTTACACCAAGAGATAGCAGAAAGGTAAAGTGATAAAAGATTGAAACAAAATACAGGACAATGTAGCACTTTAAAGACTAACAAGATGGTTTATTAGATGATGAGCTTTCGTGGGCCAGACCCACTTTCTCAGATCAAATAGCGGAAGAAAATATTTTCTTCCACTATTTGATCTGAGGAAGTGGGTCTGGCCCACGAAAGCTCATCATCTAATAAACCATCTTGTTAGTCTTTAAAGTGCTACATTGTCCTGTATTTTGTTTCAATCTTTTATCACTTTACCTTTCTGCTATCTCTTGGTGTAAAGCTGAAATCCTTACTCAGCAAAACTCCTAATGGTATCAGTGACCACACTGGAAGTTTGCTTTGTAAGTACTTTGAGATTTGGGTCATATACCAAATAGTTTTCTGCTTTTCCTCCTAATACAGGTCCATATGTGGGGGGTGGGTACAAAGGGTGCAAAAGTACCCCTCTCAAGATCTCCCAAGTAAGCATGCTCCAGCTGGCCAAGGAAAGGCAGGAGGGCGCACTGCCCAAGCCTCCCCCACCACCATGCTCTGGCTGGCCGGAAGAAGGCTGGGGCTGATTTCCCCACTTACTAGGGAGATTATGGGGGTGTGTATTCACACTCTTGCGGTCCACATTTACAAAAAAAAGCGCACACACACACACACACACCACAGAAATTCCTGCATACGGGCCTGTAGTAGTTATTACTACTGATATTGCTAGTGTCATTACATTTGTCTTTTTCAATGTTTTGATGTAAGGTTTGACATCCAACCTGAAGTAACTCGAGGTGAAATCCGCAGGCTGTGGGAAACTTTAATTACAAATCAGGACAATACCCTTGACTTCATGGAGTTTGTGAGATACTTTGGCTACTCCTCCAGCTCATCATGCTTCCCCAATGCAAAGATTAATCCACCCAGAAAAGGGGACAATAACTTCAGGCTGCGTTCTAAAAAACTCAGCTGTGATTCTGACATACTGGTGGACAGGGTCAGAGCAAAAGTAAGCTATTCCAGTTTAAAGAAGTAATGCCAGTTGGAACTAAATTTCAGCAGTGTGTAAAGTCAATTTATTCCTTAAATATAAATACAATTAATAAGTTATTTAAATTCTAACGCAGACCACTAGTGCACGAGAAGAAATTTGCAAACTTTTTTTTTTAATGCATGATGTTGAGCTTTGTTAAATGTACCGAGAAAAAAATTGTGTAACATTAACAATCCCTAAGAATCATACAGTATGATGATATGTTTAAGGGAAAGCACAGCCCAGAACTTTTTTCTAATAAAAGAAAACAAAATATTTGTGTGGGCAGGGTTGCAAATGGATTTGTTTGTGTCCACAGTATGTTTGTTATGGGAAGTCAGGTTTTAGTTGTACATGGAAATACAGAGCTGCTCTGCTGATTCATGCTGGCAACCAGACCAGATCAGTTTCATATCCTTTAACTTAGGAAAATACAAGGTGGACAGTGTCCTTGCCACTGAAAAGAGGATCTGGTTAAGAAATTGAAAGTGAGCTCTTCATGCCTATGATGGCTGGATAATAGCTCTGTCATTTTTGCCCTCTATATATATATTTCAAATTTAACTTTAAAAAACTACATTAAAGGGGAGGACAAAAAGAGGCATAAAGACCAAAATTTGGCCTTCATTAATCAAGTTCAGATGAAGATCTCATTTTTAAATATTAGCATTGTAGATTTCCTAACCATAGAAATGGCATTGGAACAGATCTTATTCTCATGTGTGCCACAGGTAAATCTACAATACCCTGCAGAGGTTAATGCACTTATTCTAGACACAGATGTCACTAAAAGCAAAAAAATCTATCTTATTAACTCTGACTCCAGAATCTGTCCCATCCATTTCCTTAGGAAAAACATAAGCCTCTAGCT